AAAAAAAAAAAAAAAAAAAAAAAAAAAAAAAAAAGGAGGTGAGGAGAGGCCAAGGTGGAAAGGATGGGAATGGGAGAATAAGGTGGGGAAATGCCAGTTTTTAGGTATATAAGTATTGTGATGGCTGGCATTACACAGTCTATCAGTGACTTTTCAGATTGCTGTAATCAAAAAGTACTGTGGCCAGGTTGTCTGGGTATAAACCGGTACCAGAATTTACACCAAACTCAAGCCAGAGCCCGATTCTTTAAAGGAAATGGTTTAGAATGGATTATCCACACCCCAGTCAGGCACTCCCTGCCTGGGGAACCTGTGCTCCTTCTACTCTTGCACTGAGGGAATTAGCTCCCATGAAGCTTTCTCCCCCATTGGAGGCTGTGAAATGCTGCCTTACTGCATCCTGGTTTGCAGAACCGTTTCATGCTGAGTCACAGAATCCACAGACCTCAATATTTCACCTCCTGGAAGGTGGACCCAAGCTCAGCTGCAGTAGATATTAGTGGATGTCCAGGCAACAGGCCAAGGAGAGGCACCCCTTGCCCCCATTAGGTCTTCACTTCACATTAACTGATACACTGCTTCTCCAGAGGCAGCTTTTTGGCCACTGCTGGGCTCTCTTCCCCACCTTCTCTTTTTTCCCCTCCCCTTTTCTGAGGCACAGTACAGCTTTAAGAGGACGTCTAGCAGATGCAGACGTGAACATCTGGGCAGTGTTAGTAGAGTCTCAGAGGATGCAGGAACAAACCACTTGCTTTGGAAAAGCTAAAGCACAAGTTTCCTGAACAAGCTGAGAGGAAAGAGACAGAGAGGACAGTGAGCGGAGAAAAGAAGTAGGTAAGATCCACTTTTATCAGCTGTTTGACCTCCATCCACAAGGGTTGGAGAAAGCTTTTGACCTAGGCCAGTAACTAAGTGGCACTGCCTAGGAGACCTGTGGAGCCAAAGCTGTAGACATGTCCCTGCATGCTGTGCAGTGAGAACACTGGCACTTTCCTCCACAGAATCAGGGGGACAGTCTCAGCAACTGTTTCCACCTCTCATTATAGCAGGTAGAGATACTGAACAGCAACCAGTGAGGTGGCAGTGCAGGCACAACCATCTGCTCTACTTTGATGAGGCACTGCAAGGGCTCAGGTATCCTGGTGCTGATGAGCATGGCATAAAAACCTAGATACAAGTTAGTGGAGGGTTTGGAACAACAGAAATGCAACAGGAGGGGCGTTTGTAAATACATAGATCGGCATTATAGGGGAGGAGCTGAGGTTTCCATCTTGCTTGCTTTCCCCCTTGAAGTCTGTTTGTGAACCTGTTCAGCAGCACATATGTCCATCTGGCCACATTCCTGTGCTCTTTAGAAGTTCCTCATGCAGCCAAGCTCAGGTTATTGTCAAAGATGGTCCTTAGTCCATCCCTGTGTCTCTCTCCATGCACCCACTTCTTTTTCTTTCTCTTTCCCCATCCCCAGCACCAATCTTATTTACTTTCTTTCATTGTTTGTCTTCTGTCCCCTTTCTGTCTATACCTATTGCCCCCTTACTGCTTTCTTTATGTAGCATACAGTCTAGTGCATTTGCACGGACCTGAAACTGCAGTAAATCTGTCCCAGTCTGTCTGTAAATGATGTTTGCCTTGCTCCTGGCATCTGCCCTTGTTTCACTGATCTGCTTCCTGCTCCCTGGTTCTGCGAAAAAGAGGAAAATGCACAACTTGAATGTGAGAACATCAGCAGCAAACAGATTGGGAGAGTCAGTCATAAAGAAACTCTCCTCATATTGCCTGGAGTGAGGCCCTTCTCCAGAAATTGAAATCTCTCTTACTCTTGACAGGTGTAGTATTAATTAGGGAGTTTAGCTTTCCTCTCCTAGAAAGCTCTTATTCTCTCTTCTGTAACCCTGTTCACACTGGGTCAGTTCCCTGTTCCTTGTCCAGTCCTTGACACTAGCACAAAGTAAGTGTTTAACTCCCACCCCCCTCCACTTTGCATGCTGACATTCAGTCACTGCACTGGTAGAAATGGCTATGTAAAGTATAGCGCAGTGGGGAATCGGGGCCTAGTAATTTGATTCTGCCTGGGCACAGCTACATGTTCATTAATGTGCAGTAGTTGTATAAGCAAGTACTAAATAAATGTGCAGTAACTGTAGTTACTGTACAGTAGAGCTGGCGCACACCTTTTTAGTGACACTACTGCACATTAGCCTAATAATACTGCGCAGTAGTGTATTAGCACTGGTTGTGCTGTGACACGCTACTGCACAGTACTATTAGGCTACTGCGCAGTTAGCATCTAATGTAGACACGTGCCATGTGATTAATTTGGGACAGGAATAGACCTAAGTTAGAACCATTTGGCAGCATCCTAGGATCTGGTTTCAAATATTGCTCCCTTCAAGTTTCAACACCTGTCATGCTCTGAGTGGGAGAAACACAGTGATGTTGGTTCATGCCATTCTGTCATGCACCACTTAACATTTTGGCTCTTTCTTAAAGACCAAATTCCAGAAATGAGTGGACTATGTGAGAATCTCAATTTCTTTTTTTAAAAGAAAGTTTCTAGACCTTATGGTTACAGAGAAAAAAATTAAAATTTGGAAGGCTCAGAGAAATAGAAGGAAAATAAAATGCCCAGTAATTTATTATTTTCCAAAATCTCATGACTTTGAGGGTCTGACTCATGATTTTTGAATGTTTGTAATTGACAAACTTGGGAAAAATCTGGGTCTCATCAGTATAGGAAGGAAAGCAAAGCTGGGGTAGTGAACAAACGTGTGTGTGTGCATGTGTGCGCGTGCGTGCGTGCATTATTAACAAAGCCATTT